ATTACAATTTTTACTACCTGGTAAGTGCGGTATTTATAATCTATGCTCTTTTCAGGTACTTATAGATACAAGTATTCTTGTAAGCATGGTAACCAAGCATGTCCGGTAAATAACTATCTCCAGGCAATTAGTCACATAGCGAGTGTCTCTATTAGACTTGCTTAAATTTAGATCCTCGAGGATCCTCTGCGTATTGGAGTCCATGTCATTGCAAGTTCTGGTATGCGTAATTATGTGTGACGTAGGACATGTCACGCTTTTTTAACATTGATTCATTAACTGGTCGATTCCCAAATCGCCATAGGATTTGATTGGGACCCGATCTCTGTAACAGACTGCCTAAAATCTGTCTTAATCATTTTCGTTGAGCCAAATTTAACCTGTTCCTGATTTTGGTAGATGACTTCCATGTCTCGCAAAACATACGCACCTGTTGTGAAGCAGTTTGTGTTAACTAAGTGGATTTTTGTTTCAAGCCTTATAGCTTAGCTTGGCCAAACAGGAAACAGTCTTTGGAAAATGGCCCCTGAATGTCCAATTCGGCATGGAACGTCATGATGGGCATCCCGATCTTTTGCTAGGATGCTGCTCCTAAAGCTCTGACAATCGAGATTTGACAAGGGAACGTTTTACCTTGCCTTATGCAAGTCAAAGCTTGCTGTCAGAGTCACTCATACTTATCACAGCATTAATCATTATTTATTATTATTTATTTATTTTATTTTAATTATTTCCCTGTCCTATCCCCACTTTCTTCATCCGCCCCACCTTTACCTCTTCGAGCCACCTTGGCGTTCTTTCATTTATCTTTCCTTGAAAGGGGTAAAGATAAACACAGTCTCTTTGATCTCACCCGCAGGATGTCTGACAGCCGCATTGGACACCACCTTGGGTGGAATGCGAGTCAATCTTTCTCCCCCCCCCCTTCTCCAAAGTGTCTCTCTTTCATCTAGGAGATCACTCGGACCAAGACGCCTATTGACCTTTCCAAGGTGCGACTCCCACCTCGAGTCATATTCACCCACTTGTAAGATAAATCTCAAGCCTAGGACATTGCCTGTTAACGCCCACATTTTCCAGGCCTATATATAAGGTAGATTAATTCAAGCCAGACCCTCTTATTTCTCTATCGCTGTCAATCGAGTCTGGACTACTTCATTTATTCATACTCCTAGAGGAATACCTGGTGGTGAGCAGAACTTAATCACAAGTTCCATCTTAATTACCTTGTGTGCATATTACTCTCTGGAGGTTATCATGTGTATTTTATTATTTCATTTATATTTAATTAGTGCATTGTGCATTTCTCACTGTCGTAAGTAGAAAACATAAACATGGCATATGTATTTAATTATGTACTGCATTGATCTATTAATGCTACGTTGCTCAATTGATCGTTGGTGCAACCATGTATATATTTGTACATCTTATTTTATTTCCTTTATCTCGGCTGACCGCCTTGATAATTTTACAAGCGCACTAATACTGCGTTTAGTAAAGAAATATGAATTATCTCCCCTTTAGTCATCCTACTTTTACGAGAGTTGCACCCCTTGAACAGACACCCTCTCCATTCAAGCGCGCTCCATTGTTCTCGACCGACGGTCGTATGTAAACAAACCGTCATGGTCGCTGACCACCGCCCATCCCACCCCCCTTTTCTCTTCCAACTTGTGTTGTTTATTTGAGATTATTATATCCCCTTTTATGTACATTTTTATATTGCTACTATCTGCCTTCTGTTTTCCGATTCTATTTGTCATTATCTCCCCCATTGTGCTCTGAAGCAATTTCACCAATGTGACGAATGCACCTCAGTCGAGGGCATCGATAAGATGCATGAGAGACATGTCCTAACTTGTCTTTATACGCAGCCTCCCTCAGGTGTCTGCCTATGTGCTTAGTGCTATTCAGCACTGCACTTGCCTACTGAGATCTACCCAACTATTTATCTGCCTATTTGCTATTTATCGGATCTACTTGCCCGCCCATTCGACAGCCCACCTGTCAACTTATTAGGTGCGACGTCCCTATAGACCCAGATCTGTGCGAGACGTCATAGCTACGCCAAACCCTCTGCAACTCACTGGACCTATCCTGTTAACTACGCTGCCCACAGCAGATCAGCTCTGCCCGCAATAACCTTGTGCCTACGGTAGCCGGCCACCCACCCTACTGTGCCCACTACAGATATCAGAACTTTGGATTGAGACTCCACAAGAACTGTATCACCGGCGTCCCTCTATCCGCTAGAGCGCCACCTCCAGCTGCAGAACCTCAAGCCAGGATCACAGCCAGCTGCAACATCAACAGGACAACCAGCTAAGTTCAAAAGGCAAAGTGACATACTCTCTTATTAAGTGCAAGAGTGATGATCAAAATTAGTATCAATTAGAGATAGATGCAAACCCTCCCCCTTTTTATTCTCATATGTAAATATTTATGTAAATAAATATTCTTCATTTTTAACTTTGTAACTATCTTTCATTGCTTGTCTCGTTGCGTGCCTGCTCCCGATTTATATGCTGATAAGTTGGTGTGTGATGGCTTATTAAAAATAATAATCCCCTAGACATTAAACGCGCCAAACACACGTCACCCTCCCCAACCTGTCACAAAGGTCAATTTTGGATTCCCCACGTCGTCGGTGTAGTTCAAGTCCGTCATTCGGTTCTCTTCACGCCATGGAATACCAGAGGCAGTCTAATTCATTGCTCTCCTCATTATGTCGTCGATGGTTGGGAGGAAGAGAAAGGGAGGTTGCACGCCTGATCTCACACCTGTCTCGATGCTAAAAAAATCTGTTGTTCTTTCTTCTGTTTTAATGCAGCAGATAGATTGACTATCGGTTCGTAGGATCTTCACGATTTGTTTTCAGGGACACCCTTTTCTCTTACTATTCGCCGTAGTGATTTTTTTTGACTCTATTAAACGCTTTTTAATAGTCTACGAAAATGATCAACAGCGATGATTAGTTTTCTATGAATCCATGTCAATTGTTCGCGCGTCAATTGTTCGCGTGCCAATTGCCTCATACTTTAGATAAATATTTCAGAATTACCTAACCCTAACCATAACCATAACCCTCTACTTGCACCACACCTTTGGCCTTTAATCAATTGACACTCGAACAATTGACTCGCGAACAATTGACCTGATACCGTTTCTATACAGGATGTCATGTGGTCAATACAACGACCAACCGCCTTTACTTTCTCCAACTAAAGTTGAGTACTCGTTAGAGATGAGTAAAAATTCTGACATTCAACACCCAAGTCTTCAACTGAGATTCGAACCCAGGACCCCAGGTTCCGGAAGCCAAGAGCTTAAGCACTCACCCATCGCGCCAACCTAAAGGTGCGCATGTGTTAATTTAAACATGTATGTTTTTTAGTGAATTAAAGTCGGATAACGTCATTTGAATTTTTGGCTGATCCAATTTTATAGGTATTGTTCACAAATCGCGTTGGTGTTAACATTGTAACTTCACTTTTACTTTAACAGCAATGAAAACATTGTTTTCTAAACTTTACGGCTGACTGTGTCGTTTCGATGGAGAGAAAACTTTATTGCAATGCGATATTTTATCCAAGGTTCAGAAAACTCAATACGGGTTAATACCATTAGTCAATACAACATTTAAAAACATTTCATGACGGCTTTACAGGGCTACATTAAAACTTGCACTCCCACTGTTAGAAAGGAAAAATATGGATTTACATTTTCAAAGCATCAATTCAATTCAAGTTTACTACAAATCAATATATAAGTGCGCAGTACTAAGCTAAGACTATATTGGTCATAAGAAAATGTTTCTTAGAAAAAAAATAAATGTTAAGTCGATGGAATTCTAAGAAACATTTCTATTTTCTTTCGTTTTGTTTCTTTCTATGACTGTATGTTTCATGTCAAACGTAACACACACACACACACAAAGTTTAATGTAAGCAACATTTTAACAAATACTTCTAGTTTGGGCTAAGATTATAATTTGTACATAAGAAGGTGCGAAAAAAGTACAATGTTGAACTCTTTCTTAAATATATGCAAGAATTCCCACTGAATGTGTATAAGATATAAATTTTAAGACCAAGATTAAATTTCATCTGATTATATTATGAACATTTATAAAAAAAAAAGTTTTATTATGTCTAAGCTAGTAATTTGTATCCTCCAAAAGTTCACCAACTTTCCAATATATACGAAAATTGTTAGAGGCGTATTCTAGAACTGCTTCCACTCCTTTAACCCATGATTAGTTTCACCTTCACTTTCACATATTTAATAGTCTGTTGGACCGTTGGAGCTCTGCACAAGATTCGTCAACCGTCTTTCTCCATGCCTCTCTTTTGCTTGAAATCAATGAAACCTCTTTCAACGGTAGGCCCTGTCTATTCTTTGATTTTGTTTGCAAGTTTCAAAAGTTTGCAAGCTTTAAAGAGCTAATAAGAGATAATAAGAACTTATGCAAACGAGATATGAAGCTCTTCAAAATCGACACTAGCAGCTGGGAAGAGGTAGAGGTGTCACTGGATATATCCACATGGAGAGAGAGCATAAAGGAAGGGTTTCGGATTGCAGATGTCATACACAACAGAAGAGCAAAGAAGGGTAAAAATGCAACGGCGCCTGGTGATTACATATGCCCATCCTGCGATCGCAGCTGTGTATCAAGGATTGGCCTCTTAAATCACACAAGAAGTTGCAAAGGGAAAAGATCGTCTCTCGAGACGTAAAATGCCACAGAATAAGAGATATTGTACTAATATGCAGTTGGCAATCCTATTGGAATAGACACGTAAAATAATGCAATTCTCTTTAGTTTTCAAGCCTGAAGATGATGTTTAGGTCTAAAAACTATTTTCACAAATCTAAGTATTGAAATCTAGTTGTGTAATCTCCAACAAGATATTAGGTTTTTTAGTCTTAGAGTACTAAAATTATTTGCTTGCCACATGACGTACTGTACATTAAGTTTATCTTCGGACTCAAAGACAAACCAAGCTTTATTATTATTATTATTAAAATCGTTATGTACTAAGCAACAAATAGTTTTCCTAGTCGCCTTTCTGTAGCGTCTTTTTTTAAAAAATAGATTCGAATATATCGTGAAGATAGCCCAAAGCACATGTCACATAGAGATCATCCGACTGAGGAAGTGAAACAGAATATTAAAGTCTTGGTTTATAAACCTAAGTTGAAAACGGAACAACAAACAAGAGTAAAATACTGTCAAGTTTTGCTCTGTTTTATCACATTTCAGTGTTTGAAAAATTGAATAACATTAACTGCTACTCAATAGGGCAGGATGTCAAAATATAAATAATTAGTACGATTGATTGGTTTGAAAAAAAAAAACTGTCTCGTCAAACTATTTTCTTATAAATAAAACACATGTTCGATATGCCAAGACTATAAGATGCAGTTAATAATATAGAAAAGCTGTATCTCACAAGCACATCATTAAAAAATAAATATTCGAGCTTTATCAAATAGTTGCATTTCTTTGCCGTTTTTTTAAATTTAAAAACAAAGAAGAAATTTTTTTAAAGATTATAGTAGCCAAGTGCAAAGTCAATTCAATGTCAATTTGAAAGGATTCAGGGCTCACATTTTTTACCATAAATGGAGATTTAGTAACAAAATTTCACTTTTCAGTGGTTTCGTAGTTTAAGACTCATTTTTTTAAATGTAGCCCTCTACCTATCTGGCAATATGTCATTAAATATATAGACACTATGCTAGCTTAGGGTTACAAAAACAACTATAACGAGAAAAAGAAGAAAACGGAATTCCGTCTATCTAGGAAACACAAAAGTCCATTCATAATAAATATATTTTTGTTTTTGGCATTGCTTTTATCACAGGCAAGTAAAAAATGTGTAAAACATACAAAAACAATTACATTTTTTTTTGCTATACCTAGATTTGGATAGAACAAACAAAGACTAATAAATAAATATTTTTTTCTACGATATTTAAGTACGAAGCGCGTTTAGGCCGATAACAATATTAAATTATATATATATATATATATATGTGTGTGTGTGTGTGTGTGTGAAAACCATAATCAGATTTCATATTGGTCTAGTTTTTTTTTTCCTAATTGAAAAGAAAAGACATTTCACCCATAGAAAAAAACAACTTTATAATTATTGAAATCTATAAACTATTGGGTATTTTCATCTTTGGAGGATTGATTACAAAGTTGCTAGCTTTTTGGTGCATCCGGTGGACATTAAAAGAAAGGAAATTTTTAAATAATGTATCTTTTAGAGGAATAGTTTGTGTGCACTATATTTGAGATTTTCAAGATAAACTTTAAAAATGTCAAGAATGTCAAATTTAATTTTCGTATTTTTTTCCCAACTAAATAAAAATAAAATTAAGCTGTAACTAAAATAATATCTCAATACCAGACAGTTAATCTTCACCTCAAGACCACTGTAATACCATTAGCTAGTTACCCATTTATTTTTCTTTAAGTCATAGATTAAGTGTAAATTTTTATTAACAAAATATAATTACACCATAAAAAAGTTTGGTCAACATTTCCTTAATTTCGTACACCGGATACACCAAAAGAATCCTGATTTTTATAGTTTTTTGCATTATATACAAATCATTAATCTCAACCATTTCTAAGCTTTTTTTTTTTTTTGCTTCATTTAAAAAAAAATAGTTGGCAAATATAGCGACACCCTTCTTTTGTTAATTTCATCATAAAAATCTCGAATAAAAAGAAACATTGAAATGAAACATTTTCAAAAAAATTTCCCCAGCCCTTTATTACGTTTAAATTACGTTGTTTGTGTAGAGGTATGAGTTACAAATATCTTCAGGGGTACTTGGTTGTAGGGTGGGTTACCGTTCACTAACGCCATTTGCTGGGACTGGTAGAAGGGTTGTGCCCCCATGTACATGCCCTGTTGGTTGGCAGGGGTCGCCCACTGCGACTGGCTCTGACTTGCTGACCCTGAGACCACTATCCTCACGTCGCTCTCCGAATCCTCCACTTTGGTGGCGTGCTTGACACCGCAAATGATGCATCCGGCAACCATTAAAAAAATTCCCGTAAGAGCTACCAGGTAAAAAGAATAGCTGGGAACGGGATGGATCCCTTCGATCCCAAGCACATCAGAGGGTCGTTGTCCAACATAGATTTTGATGAGGAACACCACACAAGCAGCGTCGGCTAAAACACCTGTTTAAATATATGATACAATAGTTGATAAAGGCAGCAGTGAAAACTTCTATCAGTTACCAAATACAAGACCATTCGTCATACGATTAGTCTCTCCCCCACCCCCCACCACCACCACTAGCTCACAAGATAGATTGGACCATAGCGCACTGAGCATGCAATAAGCATGGAATTGCTCTTAACAAATACAGCTTTAAAACAAAGAAATACCAAAAAAAGAAAGCTTTAAAAAAAAAAAACAAAGCTTAGATTAAGCTTAGTTGTATCAATAAGTTTGGATCATTCATGTAATTAAATTTGTAATAGACCTAGACTACAATAAAAAAAACATGTATAAAAACATAAAAAGGGGGAAACGACCTGGATTCGAACTCAAGGCTCAAGCCTTCACATGCTTTGTAAGTTACATACTTTAGCAAGCCACGTCTGCTTGTGGAAAGCTTATGTCCGTAGAAGATTGTAACGTTATTTATTGTTTCCAGAGCTTCGTCCTATTTTCATTATGTGTTTACTAAAACTTCGAAGACGACCTATAAAGGAGATAATTCAGCTTATACCAACACTGCATTCCAGTATTATTATTCCAATTATTTCCCTTGTTTGAGATACCAAATAAAATAATTAATTACCATAGCTAATTAACTAAATGGTTTTTTTTTTTATTGATTCGTGTGTTGACAGGTAAAATAAATAATTGTGCAAAATTTGCTTGACCCAAGATTGGACCGGGGGGGGGGGGGGGAGAAATAACGTGTACAGACAGACAGACCGAAAGACAATGTGAGTTGAGATAAGCTTTGTAAAAGTGGCCAATATAGATAAATCAATACTTAGACGAGTGAAAACTGACCTGCCAGTGTGGCGAACCCTGAGATGATCTTCGGTATGGCCGTCATACATTTAGTGATGCGACAGCAGCAGTCAGCACACAGCATGACAAAGTTGAGAATCAGGCACAACGAGGCAAAGGAAATGGCCACAAATAGCAGGATATAGATGGCGACCGTATATCCTGTTGATTACATACAAAAAAAAATTGTAACAGATAAAATGATTAATATTTTCAATATAAATATTTATAAATTCGTTGTTTCATTTTGTATAACTAAGACAAACTCTTGACTTTCTCAACCACAAAATTGCCTTTGTAATCATACGAAATGTTATACAGGGATGAATTTCGGGTCCTCCTTTCTGGTTTAAGGTTGAAGATAAACATATTTCTAATTTTCTTTTGAACTCGAAGATGGCCATGAAGTCCATTATCGCTTAAAAAATCTTCTTATTTTATATTAAAAAAAAAGGGGGCTACTTCAAAATGAAAAAGGAGATGATTACGTCCTACGCGTATAGCCATGCATATTAACCAATGACTTGAGTTCTGTCAAGTCACTGGTTTTCCTGGATGTCTCAGGCAACCCATTCCATGCTGTAATATCATTAGGGAAAAAGGAGCATGTCTACAAATTTGTACATCGCATGGATAAGTTGTGTCCATTACAAATAGGCCTGCTTCTCCTCTCAGTCTTTTGTTACTTCTGCGTACTTTCATGCTCTGACTCCGAAATTAGCGGCTTCGAGTCTAGATGAGCGGTCGAGAGCAAGTGTCAATAAGCAAGTGTCAATATCACACTTCCAGGGGGAGTTTTAAAGTAACTTTGATAGTCTTCCCTATCTGAGTTATCTAGATATGTACATTATTCTTCAAAGGCTGCAATAATAAGCATTACACCATTTTTTAGAGGCCCCCGAAAAGGGAAAAAGACGCTATTTGTTTTGTGTTGCCTGTCTGTCCGTCCGTCTGTCCATCCGTCCGTCCCGTTTAGATCTCGTAAACTAGAAAAGATAGTGAAAATCCGACATAACAATATTTTAAACCATTCAAAGTTCTGATGCAACGGCTACTTTTTTCTTTTCTGAAAGCGAAAAATCTAATTTTTTAAATCACGGATACAAGCAGTTTTTTCATTAAAATATTAGGGAACAACTAACCAAACAAAAAAAAAGTGGATTTTTGTTTTAACGGAAATGTTTTATTCTTGAGGAATAATAGATTGGCCCTTTACCAAACAATTAGATCAATTAGATATTCATTATAAGACATCAGTAAGACCAGGTTCACATCTGAAATCACATTCACTTTCACCTATCCCTTGGTCTGCTCGACCGCTGGGGCACCACACAAGATCTGTTAACCTTTTTTCTCCATTATTTTCTGTTAATTGTCTTCAATAGATTTTCAGTCTGATAATGAGTACCTAGTGGGGACCAAAAGTGAGCGAAGCAAAGCTTCTCTAAAGACGTTCAGCATAGACCCAGCCACCTGGGAGACAGATGCCCATGACAGAGCATCATGGCGTCGGGCTGTGAAAACTGGCGCACAGGTTGCTGAGGAAAAAAGAACAACGCTGGTAGAAGAAAAACGCCAGAAAAGACAAGCAAGACAAACGACACTAGCTCCAGCTGGAATAATCTGCCCAGTGTGCAGCTGAACATTCTGGGCTCATATAGGTCTCACTAGCCACACGAGGAGGCATAAAACCCCAGTGCAAAGCCCTCACGCCCCTGGATGACAAAGCGGTCATCATACAACCACGATGGACGAACTATATATTCTGATAATATTGAGACCTGCCTTTTACCTACATTGGTGGACCACTTAGAGGGGCCGATTTTCAGTTTGTGTTTAAACACAAACTGTCTTTGTAACCTAGTTTTAATTTAGATTCTTGGAAATAATGATATGCCTTACGTAATAAATTAGACATGAAATTTTTCACCCCCTTCCAGAAAAAAAACGGGAGAACATGAGATTTTTTTTAGTCATGTTTAAGTCACTCCCCTCAAAATCTAACTAATCACATCGCCTTGGCATCTTCAAAATAGGTTACAAATGTTACGCTCGCTTGTCCTAGTCCATAGGATTAGGCTTTGATAGGCATTGGTCTAGTCTCTCATACTGTTTTGTTTAAATCCATAGACGATAACTGTCTAGGTCTAGACGAGGGGTTCTCAACCTGTGGGTTGCGACCTCCTTGGTGGTCAATTGACGATTTGCCAGAGGTAGTCTAAGACCATTGAAAATAAGAATTGTTATTGTCTATTCCTGTATTGGTTTAGGTGTGTGTGGGGGGGGGGATCGTGGTAGAGTGAGGCATTGTAAAAAAGGGGTCGCCGAGCATAAAAGGTTGAGAACCGCTGGTATAGACTCTAATTTTAACTTGATCTCTGACCTTTCCCATCCCCTCCTCACAAAATAAAAGGCTAATTTCGATAGTCTATTATGATGTAAAAATACATGTGGGCCAAGTCTAGTATGTGATAGTTACTTCTGACGCCACAAAAAAGTTCCGGTGAAAATTTAACTGCTTTGGATATGTATGAAAAATTACGTCAGAAAACCATCAATTACTAAGTTATTATTGAAAATAAAATAAAAAGAATAATATATTAATTTACTGTACATCAAAACATATATTATATCAAAAATTATCAAAGCCATCGGGGTTTCCATTTAAGGGCGTCATTTTGGCGCTTGTGTTTGTTTCGATTGGGTACACTCAACTCTCTGAAATGCGGAGAAATGAATAAGACTTTTTTTTCGTTTGTGTTGAAACTACTGTATAGACCTCAACTCTGGATACACCCTTTAAAGGGATCAAATGAATATATTATCTATTTCAAAAATTAGGCTTACCAGAGATATCTCCATCGTACGGTGTACCGACATACTGGTTATAGTTGTAATCATAATAATAACTGACTTTTCCGCTAAAATAAAAATTGTTATTAACGACTCTGTACCAGCCGTACGTCGCCAGACCAGTAGAAAGCAGAGCTATTGCGATCAGATACAGGAAGAAGCTGCTGAGAAGACGGCACAAATATTTCGCCATTCTTTTTCTTTAACAGTCTGGATTTAAAACAAACAAAAAATATAAATATTAAATTACAAATATATAGCAAAGAAATGGTTGAAAGGTAGAATATATTTGATTATTAAAATTGAATTATCATTGTTTCAATCTTTAAAAAAGCATTATAGAATTGAATTGCATCTAATAACTATTAAATAGTGCCTTTAAATATATGCTAATAGATATAAATATATGTGTGTGTTACAATCAAAATACCTTTAGTAAAAATCACTGCATTTAGAAAACCTTCAGAAAACAAAAAAGACTGACATGTAAAATAGCACTGAACTATAATCTTCAAATACAAAAACGAAATCTAAAAAATACTCATAAAGACACAAAAAAAGGGCAAATTCCTTGTTCCATATGATAGGACAAATGTGTACCAATGCTCCTTCTTCCCTAGTGCTATTAGAGCATGGAATAGCAAGTGACATGATCAAAGCGTATTGAGAAAACTAAAAATTATGAAATATCACTAAGAAAAAATAATTGGTAAAAATATTTTTAATCACACAGATCTATTATTGTCGGAGTTTAGGTCCTTAGTTAATATGCATGACTAAATGTATGGCGCGTAGGACTTAATCATCTTCTTTTTTGAAGTAACGTCTGTATTATAGAAGATAAGATAAGATAATTGATAGAAATATCTTTAATGTAAAGCTTAGTTGTAAATCAAATATTTTTCTTGTTTACAAACATGAACGCACATATTTACGTGTGTTGTAAATTATTAAAGTGTGTACGAAAAGTTGTACGTGCTAATTCTACATTTAGACGCATCGGAAGCCGAAAAGTAGGAAGAATGTTTATATATGACTATTTTTAGATTTTTTAAAACTGAAATGATTGCAGAATTCAAGCCCCTAAATTACTCTTAAGAATAAGGTGTAAAACTTGAACCTTTCTGTACAGTAATGCAAAAATTAAAAAAAAAAACTTTTCGCCCAAGGTAAAGAGAATATTTAGAAAAAGATAACATGAGAACTAGACATGCTTTAAAGTGAACCCCCAGGGCTCAAGAAGTAGAGAAAGACCAAAAAGAACGTGTACAAGATGAAGCCGAGAGGAAAGAGCTGGGAAGTCATTAAAAAAAAAACAACTACCAAGAGACCGTGGAGAGTGGCGTGTTTTAACAGAGGCCCTAAGTTCCATGTGGCACGCAATGTAAAGATGATGATGAAATACAATAGTATCTCGTTCTACTTCTCTCTATCTCTGTGTCAATAAATAAATGTGACAGGAAATAAATAATATATAAATATAAACTTTATACCGTAGTAACGAAAGACAAAGATTACCAAAGAACAACATAATAACAAACAATAACACGAGAAACTAGTGAAGGCAAAGAAGTAAATTTTAATACAAACAACAATCTTTTACTAACTACACTTTCACTTACTTGTATTTCAAGTTCATAAGTCTTACAAACTACTTATTTGTTTTGTAGAACATGCAATGCCACTCCCAGCGGTCTTATAGCATTACTCTTGATTGCGAGAATGAACATTCGAGTGGGGCTATATTTTGCAGTAAGCTGTAAGCAAAAGTGAGTGGGGGGGGGGGGGAAGACTGAATAACTTAGAATTTTTTAGAATAAAAATAAAAAAAACAAAATAATATTGTAAAAAAAAAACAACTCGAGACATATGCATGATTGACGTTCTCACGACAAAGGATCTGGATCTACCTGGTCAAAATTAAATACATATAAAAAGATCTGGTTCCGTTAAAGTATGCAATAGGTAGATCTAGTTGTCTGGTGCATGTATAGTCGAAATCAATATCAGTTCCGAAATCATATATATATATATATATATATATATATATATATATATATATATAAGTTCTCTCTCTCTCTCTCTCTCTCTCTCTCTCTCTCTCTGTATATATATTATATATATATATATATATATATATATATATATATATATATATATTATATATACACATCATGGGCGTAACCAAGGGGGGTTTGGGGTTCAACTCCTCCCCCCCCCCCGAAATGATATCCTTACTACGCCCATGATATATATATACAAGGCTTGTCTTTGAGTCCAAAGATTAGTGAGGAACGCAAAGGAAAATATAAATATATATATATATATTTATAGTTCGTTGTATTGGGCGGGGGGGGGGGGGGGACTAAGTGACTTGCGCTGAAAATTTTTATCAAAGATAAATTCGTGCAATACGTCGAAATAACTCTCTTGCCCTAAAGCCCATCCTTTTCCAGAAGCATACATACATACATGCATACACACATACAAACATACATAAACACAAAAATACATACATACATACATACATACATGCATACATACATAGGCCTACATATATACATACTTACATACATACATACATACTTACATACATACATACATACATACATGCATACATACATACATACATACATATATAGACATACATACACATATTTTTTTTTATCTTTGCTTTTTCCCCTTACATTTTAACAACTGTTTCAACAATAAGTACTTATTTTGTTGTTGGTGCTGTTATTTTGAAGTCTGTGCTAGACATGCGAATCTCCTTATTCATGTATATTATTACTGAAAGTAGAAAACATACAAAGTTAAGCCAATGAGACAAAGAAACAGTTTCAACATGGAACATAGTGTACCTTTTGACTTGGTGAACCCCCCCCCCCCCCCCCCAACCAGCTCAACAAATCGGTAATCTGTTTAAGCCCAACTCTTGTTGAATACAGTTCTTTGAAATCCTTTATTCACTTTCTGTTCATTTATTTGCATATCACCCTGTGTGTTGCAGCTCAGAAAGCTGACTGTTTTTTTTTTCTAAGTCTTAAATGTAAATTTTAATGCTTGTGAAAGATAGAGAGTTTTGATTTAAATCTCGAACTACTCGGCGTATAGATATCTATAAAGCAACCCAAATGCTTAGTTATTTAACTGGAGTGTTAAAACTAATGGTGCAAAAATATGACACGTAACATATGATTAGAGCTCTAGACACTAGGGTACAGTGTTATTAACAGAAGAAAGTCGAGAGAATATAATGAAATATTCATTCCGTCGATGACTTGAACCACCAACTTATGTATCATTCCACATAGTCTAGCAGCAATCACATTACCTGGCTCAAACTGTATTTGGCCTCTCATATTCCTTCCCCCCACCTTTCCAAAGAATAACCGAAAAAAAAAAATGAAACACAGTTCGTAAAACATTAGCATAGATTATTGGACATCATTTTTACCGTCGACACTGAGAGCCGTGTCCCTCTAATTGTTCGTAAAAACTTTTGTCCGAACCTTGCTGTGAGCTGCTTTACTGTTAGAAATCTGTGTGGTATTTGAACATTATTATCTGTTGAAGATGATATAAGGGCCTATACCCATATATAGTAGTTATGGCGAATTAACATTAGATTATATCCCCTGACTCTGTGATACTTAAGCCACGGCAATGATGCATGCACTTTCAGTGTTCTACTTTCACAGCGTGTTAGGCGCCACAATTGAAGCAGCCGGCAATCATCAGGAGTATTGCATGCCACAAGGAATATTGAATAATTTGGAATATAATTTAATCCAGCCCGAGATCGGAGGCCGACTTTAAATTCAACCCATTCCCCATGGCGCCGCTCATAGAATTTGGTGACTGTAGATTGCTTTCAGATTTTTATGGAAAAGGAGAGGTTTGGTTAGCCCCTTTATTTACTGTCTTGGACTTTGGTGACTATCAATTGCTTTAGTTATATATATATATATATATATATATATATTTATTGAAGAGGTGGGTTTTAACCTTAAGACCCCCTGGAGAGAGTATTTAAACTCAAAACCATCTAGATTGCGGTTTTAAACTCAAAATTTGGCTTGGCTGAGCTCAAGGAATTCGTTGACTGTAGTTTGCTTTAGTTTTATTTTGAACAGTGGCAATGCTGAGCCAAGTGATGGTTGTACATTAAATTCTCCCCTACAATAAAAAAATTGAAGAAAAAAAAAAGAGTCTCAAAACTGACCCCCCCCCCCCCCCCAAGCTCTTTGCTGGGCGGAATTTCATTTTGACTGAGGGTGTTAGAATCCAGAAATTCCCCATTCCCACGGCCACGGCCATAACTCAAATTCAAGAAATAAAAATAATTAATCATGTAATTGGTACGTAATTCGAGTTTTATTTTTCATATTAATGGATGAAATAAACAGCAGTATTAATAAATAGTGTACAGAAAAAACTAGATATTAATATATAAACTATAGCGACTTTCATGTTATATTAACTGTAGAACAATATATTATTTACAAAGTAGAGGGCACTTTTATGAATTAAGATGTGCGACTGAGTGGCGAATACCGCTTCGCTACATGGCGTAGGGGCCCAAGCTCAAAACCCATTTCGAGCAAATAAATGCGTTTTATCACAAAAGGTCAAACTCCCCGGACCCTCAGATGATGGCAAATTTATAGCTACGCCACTGCCTCCCTCACGGGTACACAAGGTAGATTGGACCAGGCATATTAAGCTTCATGTAGATTGATACGCTGTAGAGCAGTAATGATAGGTCCGTCAATCATTCAATAAGGGCCCTTATAACTATAATATAGATTTCATAGCAATAGCAGTGCTCTGTTGTAGAACTATACAACAAAAAATGTATCACAGTGTATATAAATTAAAAGAATACATATATAAAATAGATTGTATAAAGATGTTATCACAGTTGGGAAATGTTGTAGACGGACTTAATGTTTATGAGATTCTATTTCACTATATACTTATCGTTCTGGCCATGTAAGAACATTAGTTAGGCTTTCGAGATTTAAACAAACAAGTAGAAAACAAAGCC